TGACACTGTCTCACTGTATACCTGGAAGCAGGCTTTCCCTGGTTGCTGTGGACAGGCAGGGGGCAGGGGAATGTTAGGGTTGTCAGAGGACAAGCAAAGATGCTAGCTCCCCCACTCCCATCTCTTTCTGCTCTCACGGGAGGGTGATGCCAGAGGAGCTCACTGAGCACCTGAGTATACCCACAAGCTGAATACCCGATGGTGAAAGATAACTCATACGTGCACATAACTGAGTAGAAGAAAGGAAAGATATGAACGTGGTACCATGAAAGAAGGAGAAAAGTGCTTCCTTTTTTGATGGCGTCAATTTTACTGTCTCTTTTTGAAGGTCAAATGGTTTCTGAACCACTCAATCACTTCTTCCCTCTCTTCCTTGTCTTTTACCTGTTACTTTCCTTTCTTCTGTATTGTCCCCCAAACCCAAAGCTATACAGGAATGGAAGAAGGAAAACATGGGTTTTATAGGATGCATTTAATGAATATTGGTAAGAAAAAAGACAAATCACTTTGTTTCATTTTCTTCCCACATGCCAAGGGGAGTAAACAACGGAGCAGAGGTGACTTTATATTATAGTATTTAAGTACTGTTAACTTTACATCATGGTGTTTGATTTACAGAGTATCAAAGAGAAGAGTAAACATCAGCCAGGGACTTTGCATCCTCTTCTGGGTAAACAATTAGTTGTGTTTTTGATTATACACAGGATAGTTGTGTCATGTCAGGTGGAAGTATGACCTTGTCATTGTCTTTATTTAGAGATTAAGTATGGTTAAAGGAGACCTGTATGGGGTACCAAGTTAACAAAAGACAGGCTTGTGATTATTAATTGTATGTGTCATCTTGGTAGGGCCATGGTGTCCAGATATTTGGTCAAATATCATTCTGGATGTTTCTGTGAAGGTGTCTTTTGGATGAAATTAACAGTTAAATTGGTGGACTTTAAGTAAGGCATATTACTCTCCATAATATGGGTGGGCCTTGTCCAATCAGTTGAAGGTCTTGATAGAACAAAGCAACAAGGGATTCTGCCAGCAGACAACATTTGAACTTAAACAGCAATTCTTCCCTGGGTCTCTAGCCTGCTTGCCTACCTCATCAAATTTTAACTTTCCAAGCTCCACAATCATGTGAGTATATTCCATAAAATAAATCTCCTTGTGACATACTTGGCAAGATGCATAAAGAATTTCTGAAAACCCCACACTTGTGTGAGCTGCCCTCCCAGTCTGCACTGGGTTGCAGGTGCCCACCTGTCTTCACCAAAGGAGAGGTAAGCCTTGGGGTCTGCATGGAAAGAAGACAGGATAGGTCAATTCTCAACCCCTTCTAATTTCTTGTCTTGCCAGTCAAATATCAACAAGTGATTCTTAAAATAAAGCTTCTTGCTTATCCATTACAAATCTGCCAAGTTTCACCATTTCCTAACCATTTCAGAATTTTTAAAGAAATTAATAAAGGATACAAAAATATTTTGGGAGATGTTGTCAACATAGAAATACAACAAAAAGGGAAACCTGAGTGATTTAGTCAGTTAAGCATCTGACTCTTGACCTTGGCTCAGGTCATGGACTCACAGTTTGTGAGATCAAGTCCCACGTTGGGTTCTGCACTGACAGCGCAGAGCCTGCTTGCAATTGTCTCTCTTTCCTTCTCTGCCCCTTCCCTGCTTGCACTCTGTCTCTCAAAATAAATAAACTTAAAAAAAAAACAACAAAAAGATGAATCATCAATCAGCAGAAGCTTGCAAAAAGATAACACAGGAACAAAAGAAGTAGAACTTCCTTAAATAAAAAAAAGAAAAACTCCAGAATTGCAAAAAAGAGATCACAGACTGAAAATCATACTAACAGAGTCTCTGGAAAAGTTAACATCACAAGAAACACTAAGACATAATTTGTTCAACATTTTAAACTTCAAGGAAAGATAAACTGACACATTTCCAGGCAGGAAAATAGGGGTCATGTTCAAAGGAGCAAGCCCTCAGGCTTAGCTGTGGATTTCCCACCTCTCACAGCAATGCCAGAAGATGGTGGGTGATATCTTCCACTCAGGACTGAGTGCCAAGGTGTGACCCACTATACCTAGTTTACATTTTTGTTGGAAGGCAACAGAGAGAGTCTTCATACTGTCTTAACAGAACCTTGGTTGCCTAGCAGCCTTATGCCAAGGGTGCTCAAAGAAGCACGATAAGATACTTAAGTTTGTAATTAGATAACATACCTTGGCATAGTTATTTTTACTGAAAAGAATGTGTAGGGGAGCCTGGCTGGTTCAGTCAGTGGAGCATGCAACTCTTGATCTCCGGGTTGTGGGTTCGAGCCCCACACTGGATGTAGAGATTGCTTAAAAAAAATAATATCTTTTAAAAAAAATAAAGGAAAGAATGTGTGATAACTTCCAAATACCATCAGAAAAGGAATTGATTTTTGCTTTAAATGTTGAAATCAGTAAAGGTGAAAGGCAAATAAACCAATTTAAAGAAGGGGCGCCTGGCTGATTCAGCTGGAAGAGTGCTGGACTCTTGATCTCAGGGTCTTGAGCTCAAGCTCCACGTGGGGTGTAGAAATTACTTAAATAAATAAAACTTAAAAAAAAAGGCAACCTAAAGGAGAAAAAAAAAGGGAGATGAGGAGATACTCAGGTTCTTTTTAAATGTTTTTTTTTTTTTGAGAGAGAGACAGAATGCGAATGGGGGAGGGGCAGAGAGAGGGAGACAGAATCTGAAGCAGCCTCCAGGTTCTTGAGCGTCAGCACAGAAACCAACCAGGGGCTCCATCTCATGAACCGTGAGATCATGACCTGAGCGGAAATCAAGAGTCAGACGCTTAACCATCTAAGCCACCCAGGTACCCCAATACTCAGGTTCTTAAATTATAAAGAGGAAAGTGAAAAGAAGTGACAAAGTGTTGACCAAATGGGCAATGTTGCTTGTATTCCTAAAAAGAAGTGCCCCAGATTGCAACTAATTCAGTAGCTATAAAATTAAGAATGATTATGAAATATTTTAAGATATTAATCAGAATTTGGAGGATTTTTTTCTTCAAATGCTTCATAAGGCTAAAGGGAACAGCCAGTCAATGCCCAGCCTAAGAGTCCAAAAGTGAGCAGGAGGGTGGCCTCAAAGCCACTGCTGGTAGCTTCACTTTACACAGACAAGAAACATCGCCAGATTTGCATTTTAAAATGTCATGAGTGTGCAGAAGAATGAAACTGGACCACTTTCTTACACCATACACAAAAATAAACTCAAAATGGATGAAGGATCTAAATGTGAGACAGGAAACCATCAAAACCCTAGGAGGAGAAAATAGGCAACAACCTCTTTGACCTCAGCCATAGCAATTTCTTGCTCGACATGTCTTCAAACAAGGGAAATAAAAGCTTTTAATGAACTATTGGGACCTCATCAAGATAAAAAGCTTCTGCACTGCAAAGAAAACAATCAACAGAACTAAAAGGCAACCAATGGAATAGGAAAAGATATTTGCAAATGACATATCGCATAAAGATTTAGTATCCAAAATCTCTAAAGAACTTACCAAACCCACCACTCAAAAAACAAATAATCCAGTGAAGAAATGGGCAGAAGACACGAATACACATTTTTCCAAAGGAGACATCCAGATGGCCAAGACACATGAAAACATGCTCAATGTCACTCATCATCAGAGAAATACAAATGAAAACCACACTGAGGTACCACCTCACACTGGTCAGAGTGGCTAAAATTAACAATTCAGGAAACAACAGATGCTGGTGAGGACGTAGAGAAATGGAAACCCTCTTGCACTGTTGGTGGGAATGCAGACTGGTGCAGCCACTCTGGAAAAGTGTGGAGTTTCCTCAAAAAATTAAAAATAGAACTACTTTACAACCCAGCAATAGCACTACTAGCAATTTATCCAAAGGATACAGGAGTGCTGATTCATAGGGGCACACGTACCCTAATGTTAATAGCAGTGCTTTCAACAATAGCCAAATTATGGAAAGAGCCTAAATGTACATCAACTGATGAATGGATAAAGAAAATGTGGTTAATATATACAATGGAATACTACTTTGGCAATGAGAAAGAATGAAATCCTGCCATTTGCAGCAACGTGGATGGAGCTGGAGGTTTTTATGCTAAGTGAAATAAGTCAGTCAGAGAAAGATATCATGTTTTCACTCATATGTGGAACTTGAGACACTTAACAGAAGACCTTGGAGGAAGGGAAGGGGAAAAATAGTTTCAGAGAGGGAGGGAGGCAAACCATAAGAGACTCTTAAATGAGAACAAACTGAGGGTTGACGGCGGGGGGGGGGGCGGGGAAGAGGGGGAAATGGGTGATGGGCATTGAGGAAGGCACTTGTTGGGATGAGCACTGGGTATTGTGTGTAAGCAATGAATCACGGAATCTACACCCAAAACCAAGAGCACACTGTGTACACTGTATGTTAGCTAACTTGACAATTAATTATACTTTAAAAATAAATAAATAAAATGTCACAAGTGGACACCGATCATTCCTATTGCTTCATTCATGCTCCTGGTCTCTCACTTGAGCTAATATTGAGATAAGCATGTTTCCTGAATCAGAATATGTATGCATGTTGGCAGCATATCTCTGGGAAAGTTACCCTCTGCCAGTCTGTGGGGCAGCAGTGTCCTTATTGTCACAAAAGATATACAGTAAAACCTCAGATTGCAAGTAACTTGTTCTGCGAGTGTTCTGCAAGACGAGCAAACATTTCTAATAAATTTTAACTTGATAAATGAGCGATATCTTGTAATATGAGTCGTTATATGACACCAAATGTCACATGATCACAACTGAGCCAACGGTTCTCCTCTCTCTCTCTCTCTCTCTCTCTCTCTCTCTCTCTGAGGAATTGTGGGTGATCATCTACCATGCTCAGATGCTCAGTCTCAGGCTGTGGTGTTTGGCAGAAATCAATGATTTTTCAGAAGGTTGGAAGGTGCCCACAACTGGCACTAGTGTATTTTTTGTCACTTCAAAGCACCTATGGGCTGTCCTTTGCTTTTCCATATAAGAGTGAGCTTAGGAATGCTGCACTTCATTCTAGGTCAGGCTGCCTGCAGATAGAGACCCTTTCATCTGCTGCCTTATTGCAAGTTACAGTAAATACAGTATGTGACAAGAGTTTATTAATACTGTACTGTAGTCAACATCCCTGCGAGCATATACAATGGCCCCCATGCAGAAAAAGATTCCATTGAGCCAATAGACTGCAATGATTTCATTAGTGATAATGAAAGTTATCTACACAATAACCCTCCTCACTCTTGTCTGCCTCATACCAGCCATGAAGGTTTCCAAAGGTAAGTGCAGATTAATTTGTTTTTCTTTATATTTTGTATTTTCTTTATTATTTTGTATTATATTACAGTATTGTGATCATTTTTATATGAACATTTTTGGGTTGTGGAATGAATCCTCTCAGTTTCCATTATTTCTTATGGGGAAATTCACTTTGATATACAAGTGCTTTAGATGATAAACCTGTTTCCGGAAAGAATTATGCTCACAAACCAAGGTTTTACTGTATTGCCTTTAACAACATTGGCCAGTAAGATCTGATTCCAAGATCACCAAACAACCTTTGGATTATAACTAACTTCCCTTATAGATTTGTCCCTACCAAGATAGTAAACTGATCAATAAACATTATTTTTCACTGTAAATCAAAACATAGCATTATGGTTTTATTTTTTTTAAGTGGGCATTTCTATAAATCCCCAATCTTCTGTTTTTCTTTATTATTTTGATACAGGGCTATAATCTCTTATCCACTATTCTGAAATCCAAAAAGAAAGTTGTTTTTTTCATTTGGCAGCAAATCTTGACATGAACAGATGCAAAGCTATTTATAGTCTCTATCCTACTCAATGAGAATACTGGTATATTTTGCTGCAGAAATATAATGTGTTTGATTACAAAGTATCTTTAATCTGTATATACTGAGACATGGCTTTTGTCTTTTTTTCTGCATCTATTGAGATAATGTAGTGTTTGTCCTTTATTATGCTTCATGGTAAATTATGTTGATCGATTTCTTAATGTTTGACTGCACCCTTCCCCCAATTTTTGCCTCTTCTACACCTCTATAGTCCATCAATTGTAGTGAACGTTCTTGAATTAAAGGTACAAATGTGTTTAATGAGACTTCTCACAATACCTGAGTCAGATGCCTTTTCTGTCCAAATCTAGCCTGCTTCTAATGGGGGCTGCATCATCAAGGAACAGGATATGGCTATGATTCAGGAAGACTAGGGATGCGCCTGAGCATCTCTATACAAAGCTCTACAGGCATTGCTGACATGCTCCTCCAGCTGAGAACCACTGCTCCAGAGAACTCTGTATCTGCTTCTCCCTGTGTCTCTGCTCCAGGCCCCTCACTACCAATCAGACATTCCCGCATTCCATCTAGCAAAGGACATTCCATCTAGCAAAGTGGGCAAAAGACTCACCATCCAAGAACCACCTTGGTTCTGGGGTAAATCCCACATTGGGTGAAAGTGTCCTTTGCAATCAGAAGAGCTTAAGTAACACAACTAGTACGCTGTGATGGCTAATTTTATGTGTCAGCTTGGTTAGGCCATGGTACCCAGATATTTGGTCAAACACCAGTCTGGATGTTGCTGTAGAGGCATTTGGACATGGGAGTAACATTTGAGTTAACGGTACTGTGGCTACAGGCTCTAATGTATTCCCAGAATAACCGTGTGGGAGACTTGCTGCCTCCAACACTCAGGAACCTGTCCCTAGCTTCTCAGCCTGATGGGGAATGCTGGGGAAGCAAGGAATTCACTGTATGTGTCTGCTTCTCACTGACCTCCCTAGAGCTCCCACTGCAGACAATAGCCCTTCTCACCTCACCCAGTGACTCAGTCATCATGAAGTCCAATCTACCTGTATGAAACACTTTGTCAAAAGGGCAAGGAAGACAAAACTCTCCATTTTTTATTTCCGCTTGAACAGGATCATAAACATTCCAACTTCTAGCCTTCCTACTTAAGTGCAGTGAGTTAGTGTTCTGATGATCTAGACAGAAGCTCATTTGTACCTAAATCAAGTCAGTGACATACATCCAGCACCTTCACCATCACACTTTTAAAACGAAAACCTGGCCTTTCTATGACCTCAACTATCTTGATGCAGTAGCAAGAAAATTGCGACTCACACTAAAAGCTACCTTCACATACATCAGATATGTTTACCTTCACCCATTCCTGCCACAATGAGGCTTTGGGAGTTGAGTTGTGGTCCTGTGATATCTAATGCATACATGACCTGGAAATTTAAAACAAAGCCCTTTGAGGAAGGGATTGCATGATAGGTTTGGAAAGCCAAGGCTTTAAGGGAAAGCAGTGCTTGCTTAAATTACAAAAAAAAAAAAAAAAAAAAAAAAGATGAAGAACCTCCTTCCTCTTCCTAAGATTCAGGGTGGGTTGGGTATTAACAGTAAGGGATCATCTCTTTTAAAGAAACATCTTCACGAATCTCGTCGGAAATGGAGTATTTGCTTCCCCATACTCTGATCCCTTTTTTATGTCCTCAAACTCGGAGAAAGCTTTTTAAAGTCACAGAACAGGTTTTTGATTAAACATTTTTAAAAAAATATTTGCATATGGTGACCTGGCTTTGGAATTTCTCATCTGCATTATCTTGGTGCCTTGATCAAAATCTCAATTTTAATATCCTGTTAGATAGATAGATAGATAGATAGATAGATATAAACAGATACAGATGTATAGAACCTATCTATAAATAAAGGCAAATCCATAAACATAGGAGGAGATCTTAACACATTTTTTGGAAACTGACATCAAGTAGACAACATCAATAAATATATATAAAATATTTAGAAATAAACAACAAAATATGCACAAAATCTTTATAGGAACAAATAAAAAACCTTATCAAAAGATATAGAACAAAAGGTGAGTGTAAACAGATGTTTCTGGATGAGAAAACTTAACATTGTAAAGATATCAATTATCCCTCACGTTAGTCTATTAATTCAATGCATTATCAATTGAAACCTCAGCAGGATTTTTAGGGAACTTAATTAGACTGTTCTAAAATGGCAGTGGGAGGGAAAAGGCACACTAATAGTTTAGACAACATTAAGAGAGAAGAACACAGGTATGTGTGTGGGAGGGAGGTCTGTGTGCCCCATTACACCAGACATATTGAAGGCTCTAGAATTTAAAACAGAGCAGTATCATCATGAGAGAAGAGAAATAGTTTAGTGGAACAAAATAGCCTGATGTGGGGCTCAAACTCACAAACTGTGAGATCACGACCCAAGCCAAAGTCGGAAGCTTAACTGACAGAGCCACCCAGGTGCCCCTAGAATGATCAAAATTTAAAAGATTGCTACTACAAATGCTGGCAAAGATATGGCAGTTATGGGCTACAAATTAATACAATATTTTTGGAAAACAATTTGACACCACTTAAAACTTTAAATGTTTTTACCCTTCAATAGAAGGAACCATCCATTCTATGAACATCTAGTTAATTCCTCGTCCAAACCAGGACACCCTTGAAGGCCTGCTGACTCTCTTCTTTCAATTTCTGTGACTCAACCTAGACCAGTGGAACTTCGTACCTTTCCTTACCTGTCCTGGCCCTGGCCCAGGGCCTTGGAAAGTATAGAACTGTGTCTGGCCTTCACTTGCCCGAAATGCAAAGCACCATTTGTCTGTATGATTCCAGGCCTGATAGCCACAAAGGTGTCTTCCTGTTGATCAAAAGTATGACCTGATTCTCTATTCTCAGATCCTAAGCATTAAGGGGAATGTTATCAGGTAATTGGTTTACCTCTCTCTAGACTAGGCAGGGACAGGGTGTTTACATCACCCCCATTCTGCCTCTCTACTCCAAATTCTTCTCTTACACCTGCTCATGGGAGTTTTCTAGCCTATTCTATTGGCTTGCATCTTTTTTGATCTTTTCTTGGTCTAAGACCAGGATGATCAGCCAGAGTCTAAAAATGTGATGCTTTATTCACTGAACCTTCCTAATTTCTACTTCCTCACTAGGTGCTGTTTCAAAATATGTTCATAGTTTCATTGACACACCTTCCCTCCAATGGTAGAGCAGAATTCCCAACCCTTCAAGTGTGGGCTGGGCTTAGTAACTTGCTCCTAATGAATGGAATAAAGTGGAAGACAATGTGCAAACTGGGAGAGCAGTTCACAAAAAGTAGAGCCACTTTCTGCTCACTCTCCTTTGAATAACTTATTCTGCAGCCAGCCAACTGCCGTATTGTGAAGTCATTCATTCAAGCAGCCTACGGCAAAGGCCATGTGGTGAGAACTGAGGCCTCCTCCCAATAGCCATGAGAGTGAGCCATCTTGGAGCACATTACTTTAACTCCTTTTAGTCCCAGTGGTCATCCTGATCGCAACAACACAAGAGATTATGAGGCAGACTACACAGATAAATTGACCTACAGAAACAGTGAGCTAATAAATATTCTTTTAATCCACTAAATTTGGGAGTAATTTGTTATGCAACAATATATAACTAATAACACTGGGAAAACTGGCAACATCTTGTCTCATGGCCAGAATGGAGGTAATCAAAAGGAGAAGAGAACCCAGACTGATATTTTTTATGAGCTGGATTGCGTTCTCCCTCCAAATTCATAGTTTGAAGTTCTAAACCCCAGTACCTTAGAATGTGACTACATTTGGAGATAGGGTCTCTAAACAGGTAATTAAAGTTAAATGAGGTCTTTGAGGCGAGTCATAATCCAGTGTGACTTATAAGTGTCACTTATAGTGTCCTTATAAGGAGAGATTAGGACACAGATACACACAGAGGAAAGACCATGTGAAGACACAGGGAGAAGACTGCCATTTCCAAGCCAAGAGAGAGACCTCTGAATGAAACTAAACCTGCTGGCGCCTTGATCTTGGACTTCCAAGCTTCCAGAACTGTGAGGAAATAAATTTCTGTTAAGACACCCAGAGCATGGTATTTTATTATGGCAGCTCTAGAAAACTGATGGAATATTTCAAATTGTTATTATATCATATTCTTCTGTTGGTAAATTTTTGCCTCACAATGTAAAGAACACTTATTCTCATACAGAAAGTTCTAAACTACCTTCCAAACAGTTAAAAATTAAGTCTTTGTCTAAAACTGTACTGTCTAATAGATTAGCCACTAACCACATGACTACTGAGAACCTGAACTGTGCTCAGTTTAACTGAGAAACTAAATTTTTAATTTTAATTAATTTTAATTTTAACTTATAACTGAAAGTTGTTATTGGAAAACTTTTAGGTGTGTTTGGAACAGCTTGGGTATGTGAATCTACTTTTTCAACAATAGATTTTATTAAATCTAAACACATGCCAAGTATTCCCGGTGAAATTTAGCATCTGAATTGAGATGTACTGTAAGTATAAAATATATCCTAGATTTCAAAAAATTAAGATGAAAAAAATAAATGTGAAGTACCCCATTAAAATTCTTATATTGATTACATGTTGAAATAATATTTTAGATAAATTAAGTGAAACAACATGTATTCTTTTATTTTATTTTGTATTCCTTTAATTCTATAAATTATCATCTGTTTCTTTTTAATTTTTTTAATATGACCACTAGAAAATTGTAAATTATATATGCAGTTTATGTTATATTTACATTTTTCTCATTGGTTAAATATTGCCCCACAGGGCATAATCTCCCTCCACCTCTTACTAGTAATTGTGTCACTTGGTTCCTCTGGGCAGTGGCACAGCAATACAGCACTTTATCTGGGTCCAGAAGTGATGAGTAAAGCCAGGGCCGTGTTTAGTCATAACCCGGAAATCTCTTGGCACAAGCAGAGCATCAGAAGGCAGAAACGAGAAGCTGGAATTAGAGTTCAACCCAGAGAATCTTCTGGCCATAGACTAGAACACAGGCAGAACTGTGGACCCTGGAGCAGGTCAAGTTGTACCTGCTCATCAGACTGGGTGTAGGAGGTGTGGTGCATCTGCCCAAATTTGCTACCCACCTGCTGTTTGAGAAGCCACTGCCCAGCCACAGCCCTCACACACTGGCAGTACCCTTCATGCAGCTGATGGGTATTCACCCAACTTGGTGTGGGATGAGATGAGGAGGACAGTATCTCATTTAGCAGAGGCCTAGGTCTGCAGACAGTGAGACTGAATGAGTCCAGGAGGGGGGTGCCTAACTGGCTGTAGTACGTCCTATGACACATCAATTCCATTTAGAGGCATATACTCTAAAGAATTCTTCATACATATGCATGAAATAGTATGTTAATTACAACATTACCATAATAAAGGGAAGCTGGAAACATTTATCTTTGTCCATCAATAGATAAATGCATAAATAAATTGTGTGTATTCATACAATGAACACTATACAGCAGCTCAAATAAGCAAATTAACCAAATGGAAATTTTAGAACCAAAAAATCAATAACTGGAGACTAAAAACTCATGTTGATGGACTCAATAGCAGAATGGTGATAACAGAGGAAAGAATCAAGGAACTTGAAGACAGTCCTGGAAGGAAAAGAGAAAGAGATCAGTGCCAGGGGGAAAAAAAAAATGTTTAAAGAAATAATGGCTAAAAATTTCCCAGATGTGACCAGAGACATAAATCCACAGATTCAGGAAGATGAGAGAATCCACCAATAGGAAATCAGCAAACAACAAACAAGGAAATCTACACTCAGGCACATCATAATCCAATTGATGTAAACTAGACAAAGAAACAAATTCTGAAAGCAGCCAGAAGAAAACAATGTATTTATTACCTAGAGGGGACAACAACTCAAATAACCATAGATTTCTCATCAGAAACCATGGAGCCAAAGGAAGTGAAACAGCATTTTTAAAGTGCTGAAGAGTGTAACCATCAACCCAGAATTCTGTTTTCAGTGAAAACATCTTTCAGGAACAAAGGTGAAATAAAGATATTCTCAGATGAAGAAAAACTAAGAATTCACAGCCTGCAGATTGGCTCTAAGAGAATTTTGAAAGAAGTTCTTCAGACAGAAGATAAATTATGTAAGAAGGAAACCTGGAACATCAGGAATGAAGTAAGAGCAACAGGAAAGATACTGTGTAAATATATTAGACTATTCTTCTTTTAAATTCTGCAAAATATGTTTGGGGTGCCTGGGTGGCTCAGTTGGTTGAGCATCTGACTTCAGCTCAGGTCATGATCTCACAGTTTGTGAGTTATAACCCCACGTCAGGCTTTGTGCTGACAGCATGGAGCTTCAGATTCTCTGTCTCACTCTCTCTCTCTGCCTCTCCCCACCCCCCCACTCTCTCTCTCTCTCACTCAAGAGTAAATAAACATTTTAAGAATTCTGCAAAATATGTTTGATGGCTGAAAGCATAAATCATAACATTGTTTAGTGGGATTTTTCATGTATATACAAGTAATACATAAGGCAACTATAGCATAAAGTAAGGAGGGCAGGGGTCTTGTAAGGTAGTAAGTTTTCTACATTCCAATTAATGTGGTAAAATAATGATTTTAAGTAGAACAAAAGAAGTTATGAATTTTGTAATCCTTAGAGCAACCAAAAAAAAAAAATACAAGGAGATATAATCAAAATCATGATAGAGGAACTGAAATAGAATATTTAAAAGATATTCAAATAACTCAAAAGGAGATAAATGTAAGAAAACTAGTTTCTTCCACATGCAGACCATTCTGACAAAATATATGATGTTTTGTCTCCAATCAGTTTTCCAATTCTCTGGGAATGCCAACTGGGCATCCTACAATTTAATTCAATTCAGACATTAACTACCCCAAATAAGTAAGTGCAGACCCTACAGGTTAAAGACTTGGTCCTACAAACTGCCCCACTTGGGATGCAGACCACAAGTTGAGCCCTCCCATACTTCTGACCGACTGGCTATAAGTCAGGGGTTCCCACATTCCTCTCCCAAGTTTCAGAAATTTGCTGTAAGAGTTCATAGAACTCAGGGGAAAACTTTACAATTACTGGTTTATTATAA